CATTTATTTAGCAACCGAAGCAAGCGACGTCGGTAAAGTCAATCCTGCTCCGGCCAATTTTTTTTTAATCGATGTTCAAACGCTTGACGAATGTCTATTTGATCTCCAAGAACCAGACATAATCATCGCAGCACGTCATAAAATGCTCGCCCTCGAGCACCGCGTACAAGCTTCCAATTTTTGCATGTTTCTTCCTTAGACTTGCGTGTATTGCCTCATGATGTAAAAGGCCAAAGCAACAAGGACGAAAACGAAGGGAGAACTAGACAGGACGCGGCATATTGCCTGTCGTCAAGCAATGGCCGCCGGTGAGGCCAGTGACGGGCTCCCAATTCGCGATACAGACTTGCACTGTGAGAGTTCTAATGCATTACACCCGCCGAGTGCTGCACGGAGAACAGGCCCCGAACGAACTTGCCAAATGCACCCAGTGCAGACTGACGCTGTCGCCATAGATGTTGTAGAAAAGTACTGACCTCAAACCGAAACCGCCTTTTTGTTCGACGTGATGGGTGGGAATGCGAGAGTGCAGTCGCTGCCATCGTTTAAACGTTGGTTGCTGCAACGTGGAACTTACATTTGCGATGACTTCCACTTAAGCAACTCGGCAGTCAGAGATATCTACAGACGGCGTAAGTTTCCGAAACCAGTTGACTACAAAACAGCATACGCTTGAGGAAATTGATGGCACTGCACGCGCAAGAGCTTGCTTCGTTTTAAGCATAATATTATGAGTGAATAACTGAAAGGATACGGCTTAAATCTAGTTCTTTGGAACAGCTAGCAATACGTTTCGTAAGACTTTTTATTTCCCTGGCATTGAGAGAGAGAACTTTCTCAAAACAAAATATGACGGGGCGAGATAGCTGCCGTTCATATATGACTTTGCTTGAGTCTCGGGCAACGTCTCCATGTTTAGCCATCCCGGACGCTGAGTGAATGCGTCGCAGGTTTCTGCTATGGGAGCTTTGTCGTAAAATGTTGCACTTTTCACCCATACACAAATGATGCTAGATCTCGCGGCCCCTGTGGTTGTTCTGGGGCTTTCGTTACACACTGGTAGGTTTCAGCGTCTGTATACGGCTACAAAACGACTCAAATTTCGCGAATCAAAGACGGGCCGTCGGTTCCTCCTTTCGTGAAATATCAGACGCTTACAATTCAAGCTCGCGTTTGAGTTTGTGGCCCGCGGGACGCGATTTCGAGCAGAAAACCAACTTTTTCTTTCAGTTCCGCTGCGCGAATGCCTCATCGTAGCAGATGAACTCTCGTCGTCTGCTGAGTCTGCTCTCGCTCCTCGCCTGGGCGAGGCATGACGGGATTGTCGGCGCTAGAGAGCCCAAAGACGACGTACAGCGAGCGGCGTGAACGCTCGCCTCCCCGCGCTGTCTCGTGCTCTCGTGCACCGCCTAGGGATCGCGGGGGATTTTTCGTCAAAAGTTGCAAAGTTGAGCGCGCGCAGAGAGGAGGAAACTTTGCGGCGTTCTTTTGGTCACTCCCCCCGCTACGTCAAAAAGCGAAGAATGTTTTGCTCCACGAGTTTAGCTACCCTGGTGTGAAACAAATAAAGTAAGGCTCTAATACCGCTCGTATAAAACGAGACTAGAATTACTTACGCGTCGCAGACCCCACCTCGTATTGCTGTCCTACGACGATCATCCCGATGAGAGCCATTTTGATAGCTCGTGAAAGTTGCGAATACCTGTTGAAGGGAGCGGTATTACATCGGACAACCCAATTCCTCGTTGAAGAAGACACTAAAAGGAATTTCAAAACGAATTAAGGCTGGTTCACAGATTTGCAACGGTTTCGTTCTCATGCGACGGAATCGACCGTACCAACCATAACACCGCAACAACCGTGACTGATGCAAATTGCTTCGCGAAGCTACCCCTTGCATCGCTCGCCATGCTGTGTTCGGCGAACACTTGTCCCGGTGATGTTTTCGTTACGGTCGTTTCGGTCGCAAGCGAAAACGCAACCCACGCAGATGTGTGAACCAGCCTTTAAACGATTAGCTAAAGGTACCTAGTGGATGGCGCTAAAGCTTGGTTTGTATTCTCCGTCTATGAACATTGACAGGTAGTGACCCCAATGCCTGTCTCGTCTAGAACTATACACTCCGTGCGACGCGACTGGCGCGCCGCCGCGCGGCCGTTACCGAAGGTAGGCAGTGAGAGCCCCTGCGAAAGGAAACCACGCCGCGTACATTGGTACGCATTGAAGTCGGAGCGGTGCGGTTGCGCTGGGTCGACAGCATGAACTGCTGCGTCGTTAAGTGCTCCAATAGTTATGCGTCGTGCCTCGTGGAGACAAAGTTTCACAGTTTTTCACCTCGCCGATGTTTTGTGGTAAAGCGACAACGACGGACCCGTGCCGTACGACGCGAGAAATTTGGTCTCCCAATCATGTCTCCTACTGTGTCGGCACCGCTTTGCGCTCTGCGTTTGTTTTCGTATCAGTAACGCCTACATATCTCAGCTCGAACTGAAAGGCCATCCCACACTTGCGGGTATGCAGTGCGAATTTCGTTGATGGAATGCCCTCCAAAGAAGTTTCGTCCTCATCGTACGTGTCGATGATATTTCCGGACCAGTATGGCAGGCAGTCTGTACTTCATGAAGAAAGATTTGGACGGTAGAAAAAGTGACAAATATGAATCTAAGAAAAACTACAAAGAAACTTGGAATCACTGGACAATCGACGTTTGAGTATGGAAGTTTATGTGGTGTGCTTTCTTTTTTGATCAGCCTCCTTTTGGATGTGGAAACACTGACACCCCGAGTTCTGTAGACAACAATTTTTTTTTCTCGGCTTTAGAGCCACCTATCGCAAATTGTTCGAACTGGAACTACCGTCCACTGGTCCCTTCCTACCCAGGGCTTAATCGACCCCCCCCCCCCCACCACACACACACACACACACTGATTTAGCGGATGGTCTGAGACACTCCTCCACAATAAGATATAGCTTGTTTTCAGGGATGTGACATTTGGGGTTGAGGGTTGCAGGTTCAGCGTGGACAAAGTCAGCGGTGGGGTTTATTTTATGTGCATCTATTACATCTCATCAAAATGCCCCCCCCCCCCCCCCTTTCCCCTACCTTCTTGTAGGGACCCCCCCTCAATTTACGGGGACTTTAAGCATTGTTCCTACCTGTGAAGTGTGCGCCTCCCGGCCATGATGAGTGGTATTCTCTTGACAGCCTTTGATGGTAAAAACCGGTTCCCAATTAGTTATGCCGCCAAAAAATATTTCCACCTTGTTAAACTATGCCACCTCTTTTAGGTATAATAAATGTTTTGTCAAGTTACGCTTGCCAAAGTACATGTTTGCCGAAAATCAGCACCTCGCATAACCAGATTACTACACAACAGCTGACCGCAAAAGCCTTTGACGGCCAAACCGTGTGTTGGCCGGCAACTTTGTTTTCTCGGCTTTAGAGCCACCTTTTGTAAAGTTGTTTCAATTGGGAGTACAGTCCACTAGTCCCTTCCTACCTGTAAAGTCTCCATCTCCCATGAAGAGTGGTATTCTCTTGACAGCCCTTTCACGGTCAAGACCGTTTCCCATTCAGTTACGCCGCCCAAACCAAATTTCCACCTGGTTTCCCTATGCCACCTATTTTTGGTATTATAACTATTGTGTCAAGTTACGGTCCTGTCCAAGAACCTGTGTTTAAATCTGCACTTCGCACAGCCCGGTTATAACACAACATTTTGGGTCCAATATTGGATATTGCTGACAGCTTCATTCGTTCGAACCATAACTTTCACACTTGTTGTCTTAATAAAACTTGGCCAACTTAGTGCACAAACTTAGTGAACATCTCACCCGCCTCCAAATATCCAAATATCATTGTCCCAGCAGTCCTACGTTTACAGCGACGAGCGAAACAAATTTCTCACTGAGAGCAATTATGGTGGCGGCCGTCTTGCTTTTCGGAAAATTGCTCAAACCCCTTTTTTGACTGCAACTAAAGAAATTACTCCTAATAACGACTCAAACTCAGTATAGAAGAAGCGGAGAACAGCTAAATGCCCTTCTTAAATCTGCCCCAGCACTCATGCAACGTCACCCTCAACTTATCGGCTCAAAAAGCAAAAGTTCCGTCCGTGCGCGCTTCCGCCACCACAGCTTCGCACGCGAAAAGGCGCCGCAGGATGCTGAGCGCGCCGCACTGTCGAACGCCAGCTCCCCCGCTAGTGGCGCTACGCGCGTTTTTCAAAGCGCCCCCTATAGTGTCCGCACGGAGCGTGTAGCCTCCCTGGTGCCCAGGCCTGGGAGCATGTGCAGCTTGCGGGGGAACATATAGTTTCTGGGAGCTTGTAATTGCACGCACTTACCCGCACGAGCAGAGTCATGGTGGCGGCTAGATGCCCTGCTTGCAATCGTGTTGTCAACGTCAGCCTCGCTAGAGTGAACATGCCTCGCCTAATCTTTGCTCGTCCCGAGACAGGCTGCGTCACGATTGTGCCAGATGTGATGTGCTCTCCGCTGGCTGCTCTCCGGGCGCTTGCCAGAGCGGACCGTTTATAACGAAAATAAAATACGGCCATCAGGCTCAAAATACAAACGTGCGATTGACATTTAGGAATATTATGGTTCATATGTAGCCTATTTATGATCACTACGAGTGTATCTTAAATTTTGTTGTATCCCTTTGAGGAAGGCGTCGCTCGGCAGTCAATGCGATTGCATACGAACAACAAGCGTCAACACCGTACTTTTCTTAAGCTGTGTCCACATCTCTTAACTACGTTTATACTTGCCAAAAAAAAACTAAACAAAAACCTTTAGAGTGAGAGCGCAAGGAAGCTGGTGTATGGGTACCGGTAAATAGACAATATTTTGAGATTTGGTTCACCTTTCTCACTCTCTTGCACATTGAGACTTGGTCCTCCTGTCACCTTTGTCTTTCGTTTGCTTGTTTCTAGGTTCCTCACCCCAGGGTTGGGTAGCTGATCAAAATGGTAACACGTCACGTTTTATTTATCCAGGCGCACCCGGCTGCTGAGAAATCTGGGAAACGACACACTTAAGCGAACGAGTGAAGCCGACGAACCAAGGGATTCAGCTTGGAGAAGAAGCATCCGCCTGGTGAACCAGTTCGGCACGACCGATGGACACCGAATGGCCCCAAGAGCGTCGGTGAGAGCCGGGGTCTCTGAGACGGCTGCCTGAGGATGACAGCTCCAGGACTGGCCGTTGGTCAAGCCGGCTTCGGGAGTTGAGAAATGAAGCAGCAGCTCTGAGACCGGGAGCCTAGTCGGCCTTGGCATGTACGGCCTGATCTTCGAGAACCTGAGCCAGTACGTGTGCGCTGTTTACGGCGCAGAGCGCTGGGAGGAGATCCGGCGAAGGTCCCGGATCGAGATGTCCACCTTCAGCACGCACGAGGTCTACCCGGACCACGTGATTCTCAAGCTGATCGCAAAAGCCTGCAAGGTGAGCTGGGCCCCGAATACCTGCCCGCACAGAAACGCCACGTGGCCATATCGAGAATAGGGCGTAAGTACATTTTGCCCAGTTCTCGACATGGCCATATACGGCCTTTTTGTACAAGGAGGAAGCTGGTTTATGGTCGTTTCTAAGGATTGTCACACGGGCATTGGAATAAGTGCGTAGCTTATGAGAAGCCTAAAAAGCAACCTTCCCTCCGTTCGTTATTTGGAGAAAATTCGCCTAATCACTGGGCTTCGTTCTATGCTCATCCCGACAAGTTGGATCTGCGGCACACAGTGATTCCCACCTTGGTCAGATAGGGACCTTTCCTACTGTATAAAGGACGGGCAGCGGAGATATTAATAGACCTCTTTCAAGCTTCGGAAAATATGTGCACTGGTTGTGGACGGAGCGAGGCGTACATATTTTTTTCAGAAGACCCCGTGACTCGAATACCCACCTTAGGTCAGGTAGCCGCGATCGTCTGTCCCCGAGGTGTCATATTTGATGAGCGGTGTCTGAAACAGATCTAAAGACGCTGGGGAAAATCCATATTAGACGATGTGTACCACTCGAGAGGGGGGTAACCTTTCTTCGGACTCTAATAGTCCCGCCTGAGATATGTGCAATCTATAAACGAAATAAATAATGCCGAATTACTTCGCAAGCTAAAAACAAAAACGTCGTAATATTTTGAGTATCCTGAAATGCACCGAAAATGAGACGCAGCTTCTCAGAGTGTGCGTCAAGTTGCTCAAAGCACATCAAGTGCTTTTCAGCAGCGCCTTTCTTCGGATAATAAGGTCCATATCAAAACGGTGTCCATCATTTGACACGCAGTCTTTCCCGCAGTGCCAAAATGCTTCCCATATGTTCTGCTGAGGAGGTGTCGATATCACCGAGGTGAGGGTCTATTATTTTTTCTTTTATATACAGCTGCGTCAGCGTAGTCGATTTGTGCCGATCGTATACCGGTAGATACGATGGCGATACAGCCGCTTGATTTCTTTTCGCGACCCCCAGTTTCCCTGCTCTGCGAGGTCTTTCGACGGGCTATGCGCGACGTGCTCGACCAAATGGACGTAGTGACCCCCGTGATGGATGGCCGCTTCCCGGGACAGGCGCTTAGCTACCGCCGGAGATTGCCGCCAGGCGTTCAACTACCCTCCGAGGGGCTGTCATTTCCTCGCGCCGACGCTTTCCGTCTTTGTGCCTGTTTTTCTCTTAATGGTGCATGGCGTAACGGCGGCCTTTTCTTCGATGCCGGACGGCGCATGGTCGTTGCGGGGCTTCGTTAGAGAGAGCTGTGATGTGAAGGTGTCGCCGCAATCGCATCCCTTCCGGTGCCCGGCAGGTGGCTCTGGAGACGCTTGTTCGTGCTTGTGGCCCTTTTTTTATACGTAGCATCGTACAGCAAATGTCGGTCAAGCTCTTTTATTTATTTATTTTTTTGCTAATTGGGAGCCGGGTAGCGGTCGCGTGAACGTCATTTCCGATTCCGTCCGGCGGCTTCACCAGAGTGGTGTTGCGTTCATTGTTCCAAGTAGCTCGCATCATGTCCAGAAAAAAAGGTGAGGCTCCATTGCTCCCCCAACCCCTCCTTCCTCTCTTCGTGTGAAGAGCAGTATTCACGACTCCAGCGACCTGAAGCGGCATGGCGGCCGGGTACAGGTCGCGTCGCTTAGGCTACTCGCGTCGGCCAGGCTGGCCGAACGGGATTCAATGACACGGATGTTCTTGGTTTAACAGCCTATTTTCTAGATATGTTACCTGCGACAGTTAAAGGAACACTGACAGGCTATTTATTCTCTCTAAGGTTGTTATCTGTATATGAACTGCATTTTCAGAGTTCAAGTTGGACTGCCTCCCACTCTAAAGGGCATTGATACAAATCACAGGCAGATGACCTCTCGTAATCCGGCAACATAAAAATGAAAACGCATTGTTGCTGCGACGCAGAAATTGTGTAAATTTTCGAGGCACGAGTGATCGTGGTGCTGTTGCGGCTTCGAACTTTGCGAGACCACGCCCCATGCCTCTTGAAAGTTTCTCCTCACTAGGCATATGCAGCGGGCAGGGTGCTACAGGACCGCTGGGAAGGGATCACTCGAAATCACGTAATGGCGAAATCGGCCCAACTGTTTCGGTGTTGTCGAGAAACATTTCGATAAGAGAAGCCACCAAAGAAAATAGCAAATGCGCCGATCGTCCTGGGTTGTTCACACTTACAACTGACGGATCACAAACAAACTCAAGAAAAGCGGTTATCAAATGCACTTTGACTGCCACACCCGTGTTCCCTCCCGTGAAATGGCGTTCAACTACACGGAGTCTGACACCCTGACTCCACTGTTATACAAGGTCTTATACAAATCAGTTACCAACTAGCAAATAGTTGTCGTATTCAATGTGATTCGAGACGGACACTTGGAAACATTTCGCGGCACCTAGCCGAGAAATCCGAAGCGTGCGACCATCTGTTGGCGTAAGCGGGCTTTCAACAGCTTTGCCATTTCGAAGAACGGAGCTGATGAAAGCAAACAATCGCCGTTCGACCACGCTCATAAACACTGAGGAAGAAACGAGGAATATTCGGTCTTCCGTCAATTGTCTTTGATTCGCCAGCGCCGACAACAGCTCACCGCGAAAGCCGCCAGAGTCGAGGAGACTCATGCGACGACCTGTTTTGACTAGTTCACGGTTTTTCCGCTAGGTGTTGTTCGTTTTTACTGGAGTCCTGAAATGCGAGGTAATTTTTTAGTAGCGCCACGGGGGTCTGGGTCACTATTGGCCTTCAAATCGCTCTCACTATTAGTCCGGGGCTTTTCTCTCGATTTCTACGAGGCGGAAGAGATTGACAAAACAATTCTGACTTTTGTAACTTAAAGAGCGGGAAAAACAACAATAAAATATAAGTAAAGAAACGTTGTCCGTATAGTTTCTGACAGTGACTAATACTAGTAACTTAATTACCTCGAAATGCAATACAGCTGTCTCAATGACTGTATTGCCTTTCGTTCGGGCGACCTTTAACTCTCGGGTGGCTGGACGGACTTTACTCAGCTGGTGCCTTCGGTTATTCGAAACAACTCGAGGGTACATCGAAATTTCCCGTCACGGCCAGACTATAACAAGGTCGAGCGTCAGTTCTTCAACCACATTATACGCCCCGAAAACGAAAAACTTAAAAGTCGGTCGAAAGCATCTTTTCACTTAGCCAACTAGTTATACTTTCGCTTCTCTTCTAGTGTTTCCCACGGCCCCCGACTTAGCGGCTCAAGAAACTCTAAAGCAGGCATCACACTGTTTGTAGACCAACACGCGGCACTGACGTCACGCCGCTAAGGTGGCGCTGCTATTGGCAGGGCACATACACGGACGCGGTTCCTGCCCACAACTTAGCGACTCAAGAAACTCTAAAGCAAGCATCACACTGTTTATAGACCAACACGCGGCGCTGACGTCACGCCGCTAAGGTGGCGCTGCTATTGGCAGGGCACATACACGGACGCGGTTCCTGCGCACAACTTAGCGACTCAAGAAACTCTAAAGCAAGCATCACACCGTTTATAGACCAACACGCGGCGCTGACGTCACGGCGCTTAGGTGGCGCTGCTATTGGCAGGGCACATACGCGGACGCGGTTCCTGCGCACAGTGCAACTTAGCGGCTCAAGAAACTCTAAAGCAAGCATCGCACTGTTTATAGACCAACACGCGGCGCTGACGTCACGCCGCTAAGGTGGCGCTGCTATTGGCAGGGCACATACGCGGACGCGGTTCCTGCGCACAACTTAGCGACTCAAGAAACTCTAAAGCAAGCATCACACTGTTTATAGACCAACACGCGGCGCTGACGTCACGCCGCTTAGGTGGCGCTGCTATTGGCAGGGCACATACACGGACGCGGTTCCTGCGCACAACTTAGCGACTCAAGAAACTCTAAAGCAAGCATCACACTGTTTATAGACCAACTCGCGGCGCTGACGTCACGCCGCTAAGGTGGCGCTGTTATTGGCAGGGCACAAAAACGGACGCTGTTCCTGCGCACAACTTAGCGACTCAAGAAACTCTAAAGCAAGCATCACACTGTTTAAGACCAACACGCGGCGCTGACGTCACGCCGCTAAGGTGGCGCTGCTATTGGCAGGGTACGTACGCGGACGCGGTTCCTGCGCACAACTTAGCGGCTCAAGAAACTCTAAAGCAGGCATCACACTGTTTGTAGACCAACACGTGGCGCTGACGTCACGCCGCTTAGGTGGCGCTGCTATTGGCAGGGCACATACACGGACGCGGTTCCTGCGCACAACTCAGCGACTCAAGAAACTCTAAAGCAAGCATCACACTGTTTATAGACCAACACGCGGCGCTGACGTCACGCCGCTAAGGTGGCGCTGCTATTGGCAGGGCACATACGCGGACGCGGTTCCTGCGCACAACTTAGCGACTCAAGAAACTCTAAAGCAAGCATCACACTGTTTATAGACCAACACGCGGCGCTGACGTCACGCCGCTTAGGTGGCGCTGCTATTGGCAGGGCACATACACGGACGCGGTTCCTGCGCACAACTTAGCGACTCAAGAAACTCTAAAGCAAGCATCACACTGTTTATAGACCAACTCGCGGCGCTGACGTCACGCCGCTAAGGTGGCGCTGTTATTGGCAGGGCACAAAAACGGACGCTGTTCCTGCGCACAACTTAGCGACTCAAGAAACTCTAAAGCAAGCATCACACTGTTTAAGACCAACACGCGGCGCTGACGTCACGCCGCTAAGGTGGCGCTGCTATTGGCAGGGTACGTACGCGGACGCGGTTCCTGCGCACAACTTAGCGGCTCAAGAAACTCTAAAGCAGGCATCACACTGTTTGTAGACCAACACGTGGCGCTGACGTCACGCCGCTTAGGTGGCGCTGCTATTGGCAGGGCACATACACGGACGCGGTTCCTGCGCACAACTCAGCGACTCAAGAAACTCTAAAGCAAGCATCACACTGTTTA